GGCTCAGGTCACATTGTCAAAGAGGGCATCAAAACGCAAGACTTGGATGAACCCCAAGTGAAAAACAAAACCCTCAAGAAAGGATCAAGTTTCCCAATACCATTGACATAGGTGATAGGACTTTAACATTCAAAATTCGTTTTGGAAAGAAGAGTTGATACATTAGTGTGAGAAGACAATTGTCAATTGATTGCACTTTCTGAAATTTTTTATGCATGGGTAAGTCAAGGTTGATTATTGATGCAATTAAAGCCATAATCATTTATTTTTTTATTTTTTTCTTCCTCTCTCAAACATTTTTTCCCATTTTCTTTCACTCTTTTCTGTTTTTGTTTTTATTAACAATATTCATTTAGAAAACTGAAAAACACTATTAAGTGGGGCAAATTTGATTCGAGGTTGTGCTGCATGTGAGCTCCATATGACACGTGGATAGAATGTGTGAAGTGTTATGTTCTAAAATAATGGTGGAGTGTTGAGAAAGTTGGATAATTTTAGAACATTGAGATTTTTAGTGTTTCATAAATATCAAGAATATTTATGTGAGATTCCTAAATTCTAGATCTTAAGTTCTTAACCCTCCATTAGGATAAGAATGTGTATAAATAGATGAGGATATAATTGAATGAAAGTAAGCAAATGATTTAATAGTAGAATTATTCAGGGTGGAGTGAGCAACCATGTTTCAAAATTATTATATACTGCACCATTTACATAATTTGGATTTTGTACCATTCAAGTCTACTGTGAGAATATTTGGAGAGATTAGCTGCTAGAATATATGAACATGAGATTAGCTACATAATAGAGAAAAGACACATTTCACCACCAAGAAAGACCATTAATATTTCCAAATTATCTTTCTGTAAATATAACTTGTTAAATTTAAAGTAAATAAAATTATAGTCGTGTTTTTTAATTTTAAGTTGCTCTATTTCAGATTTTTTTTTTTATTGGTTGGAAATGATAAAAAAAAAATAATAATAATAAAAAATGAAACATGAAATTACTTTTTAAAAATACGGCAAACCAAATCATATAAACAAAATTCATACGAGTTCACCGGTATCAACACTCTATAAATATATTTTCTTAACAATGTCACATGTACGTCCAATATTTATCATTCATGATCATTTTCCTCCATTCTCATTAGGTAATCAATCACTTCCAAAATACACTTTGGCACCCACCTCTCACACCCATCCTGATGCTAATTATCTTTCACCAAACATCAACCTTGATCTTCTTCCTTCCCTCCCTGCTATTCCCTCCAATGATGAAATCCAAAAATGTATATTCTCAATGAGCAACTGGATCTGATGGATTTAATGCTGTGATTTTTAAACAAGCTTGGCCAATTATAGGGCATGATGTATCCCAAGCCATTAAAAAGTTCTTTACCACAGGCAAACTACTCAAGGAGGTCAATAACTCCTACATATCCTTAGTCCCTAAAGTCCCAAACTCCACATCCCTCCAGGATATCAGACCAATTTCACGTTGTTCACTTATTTACAAATGCATTTCTAAGCTTATCGCAACCAAAATCAAACCAATCCTCCCATCCATTATCAGCCCATCACAATCAGCACTTGCGCAAGGTGGGTACATTGATGATAGTGTCCTAATGGCACAAGAACTCCTCAATGGGTATCACATAAACTCTGCTCTCCAAGATGTACACTAAAACTTGACCTAAGAAAGGCCTCTGACTCAATTTTTTGGAGCTTCATATTAGACATTCTAAGACTGTTGGGATTTCCTTGTACATTTGTTAATTGGATACAAATCATACAAGCTTGTATAACCTCTACCTCATTCACGGTCTCACTCAATGAAGAATTCAATGGTTTTTTTTAAGGGAGCAAAAGGGCTCAGACACGGGATCCCCTATCACCTTTCTTGTTTGTTATATATTGCTATGTAGGTGTACTCATCAATTCTATGCATGATGACATCAACTAATTCATTCAAATATCACTGGAGATGCAAGGAATTAGGTCTTACTCTCTTGGTGTTTGCTGATGATGTAATACTATTTTGCCATGGCAGTGTGCCTTCTGTAAAATTACTACTCAATGCCGCTGAGATATTTGCCAACTTGTCTGGACTCCAAATCAACCAAAGCAAAAGTAACATCTCTCTCTCTGGGGTCAAACCTGATGTGGAAGCTGATATACTCAACCTGGTGGGCTTTGAGAAAAGCATCCTCCCAATAAGATACCTTGGTGTCCCTCTAATATCCACTATGCTCAAGGCCACAGATTGCAAAGTCCTCACCGACAAAATCACAGCTAGGATAAGACATCGGGCAAGCAAATTCCTATCATTTGCTGGAAGACTTCAGGTCCTTGAATCCATTCTCCATAACACTCAAATTTATTGGAGCACTAAGTTTATCATCCCCAAGTCTATAATAAATGAAATGATCACTTGAGTTAAATTGAGATGTACATGTGTGTGAGATATGTGTGTATTGAGACACATTAAATTTGTGAGTTTTTATATGCAAGGCACATGAATTTCTCACTACTATATATGATATGTGTGTATTGCATGATAATTAGAGGGACATTTAAGGAAGTGGTGAAGAAGAAATCAGTAGAGAACTATGATGGTCTTCCATATATATATATCAACCCTATTGTGCAGGAGTTTGCGGGTATTCTATGGGGTTCTTCACCCAGCTGATGGGCTGCTTATAATTACAGTTAACTCTGTTGGTGTTAGCACACAAGTCATCTATGCCACTCTCTTTCACATCTACGCTCCCAAGGATAAAAAGGTCAAAACAATCTCTCTTTCTCTTCTCCATGATTCCAAAATCATTGGTCCTGACAAATTATTAGTTGAAACGTTAAAAAAAAAATTTAATATATTTACTTACGAGTCAACTAGTGATCGCCGTAAGACTAATGATATTAATTTTTCCACTCGATCGATCTATAATTTTTTTAGTATGTCCGTAAGACTAATGTTTTTCAGGTCAAATTGTTGAGTTTGGTGGCAGTATTGAACATGGTGGTACCTTCAGTATGTTCTTAATTCAAAATCAGGTATATTTACATAATTTAGTTTAAGCAAAAGAAAAAGAAAAAGTGGAGTATGTTTATAAAATCGCTTCTTTTAAGCAAAAGATGGAAGAGTAGACGAAAGAAAAAGTAGAAAAAAAAAATTGAAGTAAAACATTCTAGAGAACAATATGTATCATGCTCTTAAATAATAATAATTATTATTAATTATAAGTTTGCAAATTGGCCTTTCAATTTTTTTGTAACCCATATTTACGATTACTTGTAAATAATTGGTTACTAATTGTAAATTTGGAAAGAAAAAAAAATATATATATATATATATACATATGGTCCCTTCAAAGTCTATTGCAAATCTTCCACCCCCTCTGCAACACTTCATTAATTTTAGTTTTTCTAAAGTTTAGGAAATAAGTGATAATTGCTATGATCATTAGTGTCTAACTCCTTATTTATTTATTTATTTATCTCAAATTTTTTTTATTATAATTTAAATAGAAAATAGTTGTGAAAATGAAGTGCGTGGAGTACATGTCATATATTCTTTCTTTTAGACTTGGTTTACTTTTGCCATGGTACTCAAAGACTACTTTTCTAATTAGTTCACTCTCATGTATTTTATTATTAATGTTTATTAATAATAAAAAGACATAATTAGAAATTTATTAAACATTGATTAAATTTATTAATATTTAGCAATGCACAAATGATTAAAAAATTAATTAGAATGACCGCATTAGTTCAGATGGTATAATTTCTCATCTTCAAAGAAAATGCTGAGTGATCTACGTATGCTAGGAATAATATTATATTGTATGAGAACATAATAATAATAATAATAAGGAAAGAGTAAAGTACAAAAAAAAAATATATAAAAAATAAATTATTCCTCCAATTTAGCATGTGCTTCAAATTAGTATGTGCTTATAAATTTCAAATATTTAAAAATATGTACATAGTCATATGTTATTTTCCTCTTATTCATCTCAATTGTTTTGATTTACCAATCAGTAAAATAGACATAAAAAGAGTTTAAATGAGCATTCTACACATTCCATTCAATATACAGTATAGTTTCCAATTGCATTTTTTTGAAGACAACCGGAAGATAGAAAGCACAAGAGCCTCCCTAGTCTATACCGACTTGGCACAAATATTATTTTTTGAATCACAAATATTGCAGCTAGAAGTGTATTTAAATTTAAATATTTAATTTTTTGATAGGACATACTCTTCAAAAAAAGAGGTGGTGATTTTGTAATTATATTTTAAAAAATAAATAAATGAAATTCAATGCAATTTAAAATATATTAATAATTAATTTAAAAATTAAATAAAATTTAAGAAAATAGAAATAATACACATTAGCTGTAAACTCCAAATTAATAATTTCATTAATGATTATATAGATAAAATGATTTTAAAATTATTAATTTATGTACATAATAATATATTTTGCTATTCTTTTTTAACCGCCATATTCTTATTGTGCTTTTTATATACATGTCATATATATATATATATATTATCTTACACATATATTTACATACTCCTTATCACATTTGTATCTAGGGAAAATTTCCTCAATGAAGGGGCTTCTTACTTTCCAAACAGATCCTCCTACATATATATATATATATTTACATATTATCTTACACATATATTTACATCCTCTGTATCACATTTGTATCTAGGGAAAATTTCCTCAATGAAGGGGGCTTCTTACTTCCCAAACAGATCCTCCTACGTATATATATAAACGCTGATTTATCAAGAATACGTGAAAAAAGCACTTCAAATTGTTGATTTATTTTACCGCTTTATTCGTACATGGAGCGCATTTTTTAGTTTTTTACTTCAAAAATGGGCATGGAGACTAATCATTTAGGTACCTGCAATCATCTCCAAATTACAGGTATTGCGTGGTGGCCTATAATTAAATTTAGAAATGCCCCTGAAATTGTATACAAGGTCTTACGCCTCAAATAGTCGCCGGTTCTGGACAGAAAATTAGGAAACTAATCAAATCAAGGAATATGCCTTCAACAACCATTCCTATGTCCATAGAGAAAGTCATATATGGGTAAGGAGGAGAAAGAGAGAGAAACGCACACAAACAAGAGATTTACACAGAGTGAGAAATGGGTTTCCTCTATTATCCCCAAAGATTGAAATCTCAATCTCAAACAACCATTACATGCCTCATTCTCTTGTCTTCCTTGGTGGCAAAGTCCTTCTCAGAAAAGCCAACAGCGTATGAAGTCATTGAGGACTACGACTTTCCTATGGGTATCTTACCCAAAGGTGTCACAGGGTATGACTTGGATGAATCAACGGGCAAGTTCTCTGCTTATCTGAATGGGACTTGTAACTTTTCTATTGAAGGTTCATCATATCAATTGAGCTACAAATCCACCATCAAAGGCCACATATCACAAGGCAAGCTCTCAAACTTGCAGGGTGTAAAAGTAAAGTTGTTCTTCTTCTGGGTGGACATAGTTGAGGTGGATCGGCGCGGCGACGACCTCGAGTTCTCGGTGGGGATAACATCTGCTGGGTTCTCCATTGATAACTTTGAGGAGTGTCCTCAATGTGGGTGTGGCTTCAATTGTGGCAGTGGACAAGTAAGCAAGCTCAGAACAAATCTATTAGGTGTTTCTTCTTCTTTGTGAGATTTGTATAAGAGAGGCGTAGTACTGAAATTTAAAATTTGGGGTTTTTTTTTGTTGTGATTAAAGGAAATGGGTACTACTAATTTTCTTGAATTGATGTTGTCTTTGGTTGATTTGTTCAGTTTTGCTTAATTGTCTTTGATGGTTTTCAGAACTCTAATTTTTCTTCCTGTATGGGACAATCAACTTAGATAAGCTCAGAACAAATCCATTAGATGCTTCTTCTTTTAGTGAAATTGTATGAGGGAGGCATGGTACTGGAAATTTAAAATGTGGGGTGTTTTTTTTTTTTTTTTTTTTTTTTTTTTTTTTTTTTTTTTTTTTTTGTGATTAAAGGAAATGGGTAATACTAATTTTCTTGAATTGTTGTTATTTTTGGTTGATTTGTTCAATTTTGCTTAATTGTCTTTGATGGTTTTCAGAACTCTATTTTTTGTTCTTGTTTGGGAGAATCTAATTAGATAAACATTGTATTGAGATTTCAAAAGATGGGTTGTTGTTTGAGTTCAGTTACAAGTTTGGCTTGTTTGGGTAAATTATTGATGATTTTGATTAGGTTATTATATTTATTAATTGTTAGTTTCAATTAGTTCTCTTTGATGCTCGCTATTGCCATTGAAAAGATCTTCAATCGCGGTGAAAGAAATTGGAAGAACAGTTAGGAATATAACTTGTCCGAATCTTTATATAATGATATGCTTTATCTTTTGCTGAAATTGTCCATAAACTTGGCAATGAAAGTGTAGTGGAATATGTGATTAAGCCCAATGGTATAACCTCTCTTCCCCAAATGGGGAGTTGAGGGTTCAAGTCTCACTAGGGACACGTGGATTGTGTGTGTGTGTTTGCTTTAACTTCCAAAAGAAAAATTGGGATTAGATGTAAGTGGCAGGGTTAATGAATTTGTTGAATTTGATTTTCTTAACCATACCTTTCCCCTAAAAGTGTGTTTTACCTGTTCTATTTGTTTAGGAAGCTTCTTAGTTCACCTAAGAATCTGATTTAGGAAATGAAGGACATTTCTCATTTTTCTTGCTGCTCTGCAATCATAGGTTTTTTTTTTGTTTTTTTGTTTTTTTTTGTTATAGTTAGGGTTAATGACAATTAGTAGATAACTGTGCTTTCTCTGTTTCTACAGAAGTTGAAATTTGAGAGAAGGGGAAATGTTTTTATCATAATATGATGATGAGAAGTCCTTCATTTCTTCTTTTAAACCCACAGTTAGGAATGCAGTTTAGGTCATGCAATAATGGTGGACTAGGTAACTAATGATGGATAATGATATTTGTGGTATTGTCCGCAAGTTCTGCAATGCTCACTACTGTAAAGATGATTCTAGTCTAGGTGATGACATATCATTAAATGGCACGATACGAATCCTATATTTTGATTTACTTATAGTAGAGCTTGTAAAATATCTATTCCCAAGTGATTAATATAGATTTTTTCAATACAGCACCAATTACACATATAGAAACAACTGCACTCCCTGAACTTGTTTCTTTTTCATGGCAGAAAGACTAAGATTTTATGGAGATAATTTCTTAGGGTAATATTGGGTAAAACCATTTGTTCTGTTTCTATGGACATTTAGATGTTCCTAGAGATTGTTCAATTGACTGGATCAACATGAATCTCCTCAAAAATCTTGATTAGGTTATTATATATTAATTGTTAGTTTCAATTAGTTCTCTTTGTTGCGCACTATTGCCATTGAAAAGATCTTCATTCGTGGAGAAAGAAAATGGAAGAACAATTAGAAATATAACTTGTCTAAATCTTCATATAATGATATGCTTTATCTTTTGGTGAAATAGTCCATAAACTTGGTAATGAAAGTGTAGTGGAATATGGGATTAAGCCTAATGGTATAACCTCTCTTCCCCAAATGGGGAGGCTGAGGGTTCAAGTCTCACTAGGGACATGTGGATAATGAGTGTGTGTTTGCTTTAACTTCCAAATATATATATATATATATATATATGAATTTGTTGAATCTGATTTAATTAATCATACCTTTCCCCTAAAAGTATGTGTTTTACCTGTTCTATTTGTTTAGGAAGCTTCTTAGTCCACCTAACAATCTGATTTAGGAAATGAAGGAAATTTCTCATTTTTCTTGCTGGTCTGCAATCATGGTTTTTTATTTATTTTTGTTACAGTTAGGGTTAATGACAATTAGTAGGTAACTGTGCTTTCTCTGTTTCTACAGAAGTTGAAATTTGAGGGAAGGGAAAATTGTTTTTATCATAATATGATGATGAGAAGTCCTTCATTTCTTCTTTTAAACCCACAGTTAGGAATGCAATTTAGGACATGCAATAATGGCGGACTAGATAACTGTTGCTGGATAATGATATTTGTGGTATTGTCCGCAAGTTCTGCAATGCTCACTACTGTAAAGATGATTCTAGTCTAGGTGATGATATGTCATTAAATGGCACGATACGAATCCTATATTTTGATTTACTTATAGTAGAGCTTGTAAAATATCTATTCCCAAGTGATTAATATAGATTTTTTCAATACAACACCAATTACACGTATAGAAACAACTGCACTCCCTGAACTTGTTTTCATTTTTGGGTAATATTGGGTAAAACCATTTGTCCTGTTTCTATGGGCACGTAGATTTTCCTAGAGATTGTCTAACTGACTGGATCAACATGAATCTCCTTAAAAATCTTTTCATTTCAGAAACTTGTCACCGAACTGGCTACATTAGTCAGCTTGTAGCATATGACACTCACTGGCACAACTATTCCATTAATAGAAATTGCTTGATGCCGTGTTTACGATGGTGAAACTTATCATGCTACTGAAAGCACTTATTTGCTTGATAGCTTTGGTTAATATCATGACCTCACCTTACATTTTAGCAATGAGCTCTCACCTGTGAAACCAAGTATAAGTTAGTCTTGTCAATGAGGTGAACTGCTTAGCTTTCCTGTTTGTGTCTAAAGATGCATTGTTACTCTAGTACCAAATATTAAAAGGCAACACTTTGTGTTGGTCCTTTCAATACGGTTGCTGGGAGAAAGAGACTTGATACACAGATCAAACGTATTTGTTTTTTATACAAGTGGCTGCTCTCACACTTTCACTCTCACATTTAACAATCCAAGCTTTTATCATTTCTACCCATAAAGCTAGGATGTTATTTCCTTTAGAAACTACTGCTAGATGAACTGTCCATTAAAAGGGTAACATATTTTTTAGTTGTCTTTTCTTAGTAATGGAGGTTATGCAATTATTAGCTCATGGTATTTGGGTTCCTAAAATTTTTAAAAACTGAAAGGAGTCACTAGCTAATGGTCTATATGAGTATGCACTCGAGCCGAAAGTTTGTGTAGCCAATCTAACTTGAGTGATCCATTGAGCCTTCAGCCTTTCACCTATCAACAGCTTGAGAATCAACCAAGAGCTTAGTCTTGTTCCACAACTGTTAAATGTATTCATGAAATATTAAATATATTTCGTAAAAATTGTTTTCCTACATTAAATGCTGAATGGTTAAGTGTTTAGAATGTATTCTATGAGAAGGGTTCTTGTTTGAATCCAATTATTCCAAGTTTGGCTTCTCTTGATAAACTACTGAAGATTTTATTTAGTTCATTTTATTTGTTGTTTGTTTCCATTAATTCTCTTGTTGCCCACTATTGTCACTGAAATAATTTTAATTAGTGATAGACTGATCAATGTGTGAAAATGGAAATGTAATTCTTTTGAATTAGCGCTTCTATAAGCTTGGTAATGAGGAGTAATGGGAGTTGAATGAAATCTGATTTTCTTATCATAGTTTTTTGTGTATACTGCATTCTACTGGTTATATTTGCTTAGGAAGATCATTAGGAAGCTTCCTAGTGCATATAATATTTTGCTTAGAAGAGAAAGTGAGAAATTTCTTATTTGTCCTACTGGCCTGCACATCAGTCTCTTGATTTGCTGAGGACTAATGAAAATTAGTAGACAGATAATTCACTTTGGACTCACTTTGTTTTAACAGAAGTTGATATTTTAGGCAAAGAAGAAAATGGTTTTTGTTCAAGGTATGATGATATTTATGCCCTTTGTTCTTTCAAGCCTGCAGTGAGGATGGGGTTTAGAACCTGCAATAAGGTGGAATTTTTTCAGTATGATCGAAATATAGGTTTTCATGATTGTCCTACTTTTGGGGGCTCCTACACAGATTGGAGTGTGTAGCATTTTTTACAAAAGTTTAAAGCATTGTGTGATATAAACACTTGACCCTTGTATTAGAAGAAAATGGGTTTTGATCTTGAATTTTAAACTTGAAAAAACAATTCGATCGGAATTGTTTTGACACCGAAATTTGCCAATTCAACATTATACATCTCACAGGCAACTGATCACTTCTAACAAAAGTTAGGTGACCGGGGTTGAAGGTTGGGTGAGTGGTACTATTTGCATTTGAGTGTGCGTGTGCTTGACGATTCCTATGCTTGTTTGATACCAACACTAAAAAGTTTTGGGTGTCAAGACTCAAGAGTGTGTGTATTGTAGGTTCTTTTATTCACTTGGGGGATTTTCTGTGATGACTCTTGCGGAAGTTTTCCCTATAGCTGAATATTAGCTAAAAATAGCGACTCCCGACGCTACAATTCTCTCACGTATGTATTTGAGAGAGTCGTAGTTTCGGGTAGTCAATGTTCGTAAGGGACTCATTATATATGTGGGAGTTGTAGGATATGCTTTGTTTGTTTTTTTTGTAATCAACTGTTTCAGATGACAGAAAATCAAAAAATTGTACAAAAACTTGGTTCGAGGAAGTTTTTCTGAAAACTCAGCTATAAGAAGGTTTGTTTTAAAAATGTTGTGTTTTATAGTTTATCTGAAAATAATTTTTTTTTGTTTTTGTTTTTGTTTTATGAGTTATTTAGGACTGTTTTCAGAACTACAAATTAAGCAGCCGTAGGATCTAGAATCGCCGTTTGTTTCACAGCTCTATAAATAATTGAGAGCAGTGTATAATATATTGTTCAAAGACGGTCTGACCATCAAAAAATAGTGCGTGGAAGGGGAATCCGAACAAAACTCCCCCTTGATTCATTTAGGTAGGATTCAAATAGATCACACTTGAATGCATTAAAGAAGAGCCTTGTTCCACTCCATCTTAATTTTGATTCTTTGTCCAAACTTCATGAAATTTCATCGCTCCTTTAGAAATGAAAAAAAAATTATGGCTATTAATCTATAAACTACAAAGGTTTAATTTATTTAAAAGTGAGCAACTTATTTGTATTTTCACTAACTAAAAGAAAAAAATTAATCATGCTTAGTTGAAACAATTAAAAAGATCTATAATTCTATAATTTTTATATGACTTCATCTGTTGTTATCGTTGGTATTAAGCTAAAATTTTTGTGTTAATGGCACTCAAATGAGTATTGAATAGAGGTCAATAGTGCAAGTGCAAGAGGTTTGTGATCAAGATCAAGTCAACTGATAATAATGCAAATCATGAAAGGCTCCATATCGTGTGTTTACTTTTTGTGACAAATCACCAACAAGGGAAACCAAATTTGTTTGCTTTCAAAATCTCTAGATATTTCTGTGGTAAGGACAAATTAGTGCTCAACTATTTTGACAATACAACTTGCAAATTTGGTCCCAATAAAACCCTAGAGGATTCTAGGTTGGATCTACCAATAATTCTCTATCCAAATGATCCCTTCTTGTTATTTTAGAATTCAGGATAAAAATTAAAAAATTTATCAGCTCGAAACTCTCACCTCACTTCGAAGGAGGAGAGATTATATCACTTAATAATGACTTCATCGAATATTTTACCCGCATGCACTAATTGTGAAAATTATGATTCTGAATTTTAAAATGTTACGATTCTACAATCCTAAATTGCCAAAACGATTTCGATCCCATGTAAAACATCTGAGAAGTAGAATCTAAATTAGATCTGTAGAATCGGGAGTAGATCGTAGAATCTCATAGAATTACCGATTCTACTAAAACGTATTATTTTGTTCTTCGTTCAAATTTATTTGGCCTACAATTAATTTTGAACTAATAAAATTAATAATTTTAAATATAAAGTCCAACTCTTTAGCCTAATTATATTAAAAAATAAATAAATAAATAACAAAAAAACGAACGTCAAATGCAGAGACGATCTTTGAATTTCAAAGGTATGATCCAAAATTTCCTCTATTTTTTTTTTTCCTTCTTAATTTCTCTTTTCTTCTTTCTTTTTCAGTACATTGAACATAAAGAATTTTATCTTTCCACTTATTTTTTGTCAATTCTGAAACAAAAATAAAGAAAGACTTCCTTTTTCTTTTTTTCTTTTTTCGTTGTTCTTTCTATCTCTATTTTGTTCTTTTTTTTTTTAACCAAAAAGTAAACGTTTCAACTAAATTGTTCAAACAATTAGGCAAATAAATTGTAATTTTCTCTCTATACTAGGCTTTACTTTAATTTCTTCTTTACGTTTTTGTATGATTGTTATGCTATTTTTTTTTTTTTTTTTGTTGAAATCAAGAAATTGATATTTAGTATTTGTCATGTGTTTTAGTACTTTTAATGTTAATTAATCTTGTTGGTGTATGGTTATTTAGTCTTATTCTCTATTTATATTGAAAAAGTTTGATTTAGAAAGTTAGTTTGAATTACTTTTCTAATAGTTACGATTTTTGATCCGATTCTACGACTCCAATCCTTTAAACCCCTCATCTATCTTACGTAGAATCCCGAAAGTGATATTTAGTATTTGTCACGTGTCTTAGTGCATTGAGAAAATTTTGATTGGTATTTGAAAAGTATTTTTCTGATTTTAAAAGCAAAGACCTTTGCCACAAAACTTGTTTGAATAATAAAATTTAAAGAAGTCCAAACAATAGTAGTTCTCAATCACAAAATTACTTAAAACTTGACACTGAAAATCCGTTTCTTAAATTTCCTATAATCAAGAAACTCTAAGCCGGCGACAATAATGCATTATATGAATTTCATATATTAAGATTTACTCAAATTATTAGTATTTTTTTCTCGAATTGATTATTCAACCTTGTTTTTGCTTTTTAAAAAACAATTTTTTTTTTTAAGTGTACATGCATCTGAACTAAATAGATTTTTTTGGACATCCATGATTATTTTTCTTTTCTTCCGCGGGGTTATGGTTGTGACATCTCCACCCTCCTATGGTAATATTTTAAGGCTGTTTGATTAGATAAAAATATCAAGCAAGAAAAGAAATGAAATAAAAAACTTCTAACCGCTTTAAAAGTTTGGCTAGCAAAAGAATGAAAATGAATTTTTATAATCCCCTAATTTTTTTATAAAATTTTCTTGCAAAATGAAAAAATTTAATTTCTTGAAAAAAAAAATGTATGAACTTACACTAATATCAATTTTTTTTTTTTTTTTTTTTTTTTTAAGTTTCATTCTATTCAAATCATCAAATAATAATTTCTTGTACGTTATAAAATTTTCTGTATATATTTTTATTTTTTTTATTTTAACCAAATACGTATCAAAAAATTTATTTATTTTTTATTGAAGTATTTGTCCTGTTTGATTTTGCTATCGTGCGCACCTTGCCGCGCCGTTTAGTCAAGAAAATCCAATTTACCTGTTTGAAGGTTTCAACCGTATTGAAAATTCTGGGCAACTTGGCGGAATGAAAGAGGAGAGCGAAACAGATTTTTTTAAGAGAGAGAAAAGAGAGAAAGAAACACCACACAAGAGACGAGCATCATTGGAGACTATGACATGCACACACACATATATAGTATTATCCAAATCAAGCCAATTTTGAAAAATTAGGGTTTTGGGTACCTCTCTTCTCTGCTCTCGCTGTTGCTTCTGTCTACTTTCTCTCTCTAGGAGGTGTGTGTTGAATTGAAGGAGTCTCTCTCTCTGATCGGAAGAGGGAAATGAATATGATGACAATGGAGGGCATGATGGACAAGTCGGTGTTGGATGATATAATACGGAGGCTGTTAGAGGGTAAAGGGGGAAAACAGGTACAGCTGTCGGAAGGTGAGATCCGTCAGCTCTGTGTCAACGCTCGCCAAATCTTTCTTTCTCAGCCCATTCTTCTTCAGCTTCATGCACCCATCAGAATCTGTGGTCAGCTCTCTCTCTCTAGAATTATGATATATATATGTAATTATATATAATTACACAATTAGAGAATAGTATAGTGATGTTTGATTTTACCTTTTTGGTGAATATATTGTTTTTTTTTTTTTTTTGGTGGGGTGATGTAGGTTAGATTGGTTTAATTGGGATGTTTTGTTGATTACTGAATTGGGTATATGTTGATGCAAATGGGTTTTTGCAAGTGTTGTGGTGTATACATGCGGTTTTGTGTGATTAAAGAGTGTTTTGCAATGATAACATTGATGTTGAAGTGGATTCTGGTTTGGTTGGTGGAGGTTTGGAGTAGCTGTTTCAGTACTGCGAATGGGTTTGGTGAAGTTTTGTGGTGAAAATGTTATGGTTTAAGTTCACATTGGTTCATTACAAAAATTGGTAGATTGGCTCTTAATCATGTTGGACTGGTTAACTGAATAGTGGTAGATGCCTAAGGAACTCTTACACTTCGTTTGAAATGGTGGGATTCAACTAAATTTGAGTTTTAAATTGGAATTTTTGTTGTTTTTGGAATGGATAGAATTTCAAAATGAAATTGGATTTGAAGGAATTTCAAATGCCAAAATGTCCTGCCCTGAAATCACTTGGAAAGTTGTTGGATCTAATGGGTTTTGAAAATTGTTGAAGTAAATTATGTAAATTTACCCAAAATTACCCCTATTTCAAAATTCCTAAATTTTAGCCTGCTCCAAATGAAAAAATGGGATTTCATTTCTTTTGATCTTTTCCAAATCCAATTTTCAAAAGGATTTGGCTCCAAATACATTTTTCAGAAAAATTCCATAATAAATATAAGGCACTAAACATGTCAAAGGCAGAGTTGATTTCCTTAGTTTCCAAACAATAGATATTTTTGCAATGTGTGTGGCTTTTATTTATTTATTTATTTTTTATGTTTTGTAATTGTAGAAGTTAATTCCACTGTGACGTGTTTAGTGTCTTATCTTCATTGTGGGATTTTTTCTTTCACACTGTGTTTAGAACCAAATCCCCTTTTTTTTTTTTTAAAAAAAAAAAAAAGCCTAAGATAGGTTTCTTAGAAATATCATATGGTGGGTTTTAGAAAGAAAAGAATTATAAGAAGATATATTGATGTGTTAGAGGACACATAAGATAAAATTGTGGCCATAGTAAGAACAATTATCGAATAAGCAAGTGAACCAATTACTGCTGGGTTATTTTAAGGATTGACATTAAGCCTACATTTTTATTGCCTTAGTTTTGGATAAACTAACAAAACATATTCGTGGTGAGGTTTTATGTATTTTGTTTGTTGGTATTATCATTTTGATTGATGAAACTAGAGCAAGGATAAGGCCTAATTTAATTAGAGTTTAAAACAAATAGGATTATAACCAAATACATGGCATATAATCTTAATTAGACATTAAGAGTATAGTGAAGTTCAAGTTCGAGGGTCAAGGTTTACCAAAAAGTAAATAGTTTCAATACTAACCTCTATTATGCACAAAGACGGAAATATTAGATCTTATGTTAGGTATATAATTAAAGCATGGTAGGTTAAATGGGTTACCACTCCTGGCATATTGTGATGTCAAAATATATCTCTTAAATAAAAACTTAAAATAAGGGAAACTAAGAAAACAACTTTAGATCAACCATACTTTACGGGACACATTGTGGGGCAACTAGAAATGTGAGTGTAAATATTGATTTGTGGCAAGACAAGAAATGATACACAATTAGAAATAAACACATTTCTGAGATGTTTAAAGCACCACTTTGAAGATAAAATAAGAGAAGACCTATCAAAATGTTTTGGCCGTGTGATTGTGCAGGAATGGTCAATTACTGCACCAGTTCGAAAAAAGAGACATATTGAGTGCAATGCTAGGGAAGCACAACACCAAAACTAACATGGGTGGAGATGGTTGGGAAATAAATTTAAGGATGTGATTAACTGCAGTTACGGCCTTATATAGAGCTGAAGGCCAAAATAGGATTGATGTAACCAATCCCAAATACATGAGAGAAGGCTTTGTTGAGTTGAGTTGGGTTGAGATAACTATGGAAGTTGGAAGGAGAATAAAATATGAGGAGAAAAAGTAAGGGCATGCTTGGTTTGTAACTCTGAAAACAGTTTTCTGTTTTCAAAAAACTGAAAACAGAAAACTGTACAAAAAATTTGGCTTGGTTCAGTAAGGTTCTAATTTTACTGTTCATCTCCCTTTTCCTTATTCCTAGCTGTCTTTGAGAAAATTTTAATTTCTAATGTAATCAAACATGAGAAATAAAATGAAGTGTTTTTTTTTTCCCTTTCCTTCCCCTTGCTAAATTCACAACCCTGAAATGGCAAAAAAAAAAAAATATTGACATCTTATTGAAATGTTATCTTTGATTTAAAATTTAGTTAATTTATTTATTTATTTCAGCCACTTGTAAATTTATTTAATATATTTATTTCAGTCACGTGCAATATTGTTTGTCTGCTTGGAAATGCTCATCAAACTGAAGTGTGCAAAGCCTCAACATAAAAGTTCTTAAGACATATTGATTATAAATGCCAGCAATATGAGATTCTAATACTAAGGAAGTGGTCCAGTATTTAACAAGACATATTGATTTATTTTCATAAGATGCTTATCATCTTTTCCTTTGGAATCACTTTTTTAACAGGAAATGGCACATTACCAAACTCTGGATCTATACCCTATTAGCCTTCCTAATATTGTTGCATGTATCTTACAGGTGATATACATGGACAATACCAGGACCTATTGAGGCTTTTTGAATATGGTGGGTACCCTCCTGCCGCAACATATCTCTTTCTTGGGGATTACGTAGATCGAGGCAAGCAAAGTTTGGAAACCATATGTTTGCTACTGGCCTATAAAATAAGATATCCCAACAAAATTTTTCTTCTGAGGGGAAACCACGAAGATGCAAAAATCAATAGGATATATGGTTTTTATGATGAATGTAAAAGAAGATTTAATGTCCGGCTTTGGAAGATATTCACCGACTGCTTTAACTATTTGCCTGTTGCTGCACTCATTGATGAAAAGATACTTTGTATGCATGGGGGACTTTCTCCACACTTGCAAAATTTGGATCAAATAAAGGAAATTCAGAGGCCCACAGACATTCCAGATAGTGGTCTCCTATGTGATCTGCTCTGGTCTGATCCTAATCCTAGTATTAACGGATGGTCAGATAGTGATCGAGGTGTGTCATGTACATTTGGAGCTGATAAAGTTGCGGAGTTTTTGGAGAAGCATGATCTAGACCTCATTTGCCGTGCCCATCAGGTGACCCAAGTTCTTTTTGAGCAAGCTAAAATACCAGTTTTTTCTTTTTCGAAGGCATAGTTACAAAGGAAAGCAAAATTTTCGCCTTATGATACCTTATTATTTATTCTACTACCTGCTTAAAATAATTAATTGGATAGTATGATCCAACCCAGTTCAATTTAGTGATAGGATTTCTTCTAGTGGTAACACATTTGATGGAAACCATAAAGCAAACATTTATATGCAGATTTTTTTTATAGGAAACGCACTGCCATTATGACATGCTATTACATTGTTTTCCACTGTTCTACGTGCTTTCCTGTCATTGAGTTATATTTAGAAGAGTTAATAGTTTTGAATTCTAAGCCTTTGTCTGGATATTTTACTTTTTAATAAAGGTTTTGGCAAATTGATTTAAGCACTCCGATGGCGACTATAACCTGTATAAGATAATGGCGGGAGAAGTTCCTACAATAATGACTGGATTTTTTTCTTTTTCCTTTAATTTGTTTGTTTAACACACTGGTTTTTCACTTCATTGCGAGTACTGATGTGCATCACTTAATGTCTGACATTCACCCGCATCACCTCGAGTTATGTTCACCTACTAAAGCCTGATAATAACAGTCCTGCTTATGACTTTTTTGAGTTAAAACTGCAGGTGGTGGAGGATGGATATGAGTTCTTTGCTCAACGTAGACTTGTGACGATTTTTTCTGCGCCTAACTATGGTGGAGAGTTTGACAATGCAGGCGCGCTGTTGAGTGTTGACAAATCTCTGGTATGCTCTTTCATGATATTGAAACCAGAGGAATATAAACAACCAGGCAGTTCTAAGTTACTTTTTAAGAAGGTATATTCACATTTATGCGGTGCTATGTTGAATTTTTGGCATATTATGGATTCAGAGACATTGTTTCAAGCATAAATGTTCTCTCTTCCCGTTGTTTTGTTTTTTTTAGTTTGTATCTTTATGAGTATTAAAAAAAGAAACTTACTGGTCTTTTGTTTTTCATTTCCATTCCGAACAGCCCCCTAAATTTGGAACGGCCTGATACATGAAAAGTGTGTGGAGTTTTCTCTCAGTAAATAGTGAAGGACAGCAAGATTCATGCTATGCGAATCTCTGTTAATAGAGACGGGGAGAATCGGCCTTTTCAACCCATGTCAGTTAGATCTGTGTGATATTTGAAGCTTGCAGATAATTTAGATTCAATGGTGATAACCAAGAAGATCTGTAAATCAGCAAAACATGGTCTCTTCTGTGCAGAAACTGAGAATTTTTTTCGCTTTGGTTGCTTTATACACTGCCTGTTTACTTTACCCGATAAGTGGCATTGATATCTGATGGTGCTGACTCAGGAAAAGTTGGCCATGATTTTTGATAGTTTCTTGTGTGTGTCAGTTGTGATCCTTACTCTTTGTCATCCGGAGCTGTTTGTGTATCCGATCGTGTGTACCATTATGTGCTGTATTGACAACCCTTCCGAGTTGCTTGAAATAACTTCCAGATGAATGACTCGTCTCGTTTGGCATACCTTTTATTTTTGCTTTTATGTAGAAGAAAAAGGGAAGCAAAAGCTATCACTTTCACTTAACTTAAGCATACTGTTTGGAACTATATTCTAGAAGAGCTTTCCATGACAAATAATTTTTTCTTGTGTGTTTGGCAAAACATTTGTCAAAACTCTTTTACTAATGAATTTACATTTTTGCCCTTAGATTTAATTAACTATTGTCCAGGAGTTACCAATCTTTTTTTGACATTGTCCCAATGAATCAATTTTCAATTCCTGATCCTTGACAGGGAGAACAAGACCTCCAGACCAAAAGTATAGGATAACAAGGCCAAAAAAATCACATAATAGCAGTATTAAACATATATATCAAGTAGCAGTATACTTCATTTTCTAATCATGCAAATTCACACACAAACACACACACTTATATAATTTTTATATATATATATATATACACACACACACACACTTCTGCATTCTCTGGAGTTATGCATTTGATCTCAACAAAGGAATAAATTGACATAAGTTATGCATTTGATCTTTGGAGTTATATATATATATATATATATATAAGCAATAGATTAGCAGTTTTATATAAAAATGGAGCTTGTTTTCTTAGATCAGAGCATTTTAAAATGCATTTCAGATTAGAAATTTAGAAACAATGGACTGTGAGAGAACGATTTTTATTGTTAAATTCACTAAACGAATAAACCCATCATAGATGTTGAGATTTATAAAGTTCATAGAAGAATCAACCAAAAGTTTTTGGGAATTAGAATTTTTTTGAAAAATAAAACCAACAACCTAGAAAGAGAGCAAATAACAGAGATGAGAACTTTGCAACTCAAGATAATGCGCCATAGACATTTACGATGAGCCAATAAATGAGATTTAGTAGCAACAGTGACTGCTCCATCCGGAGAAGATATCAAAAGCCAATACGATTTTTATTGAAAAGTACACTTCTATTCGTGCATATGTATGTACATCAATATATGTATATAGTTACAAATATATTCATACCCATACAATGATAAGATGTTTCAGTGTTAATTTTTGGAGGAGACCAAGAAAGAAGCAGTGAGGATGAAAAACCTGATTTGAGCCAGAGAGGCGTATTTGTTGCGAGAGGGTTAGGAGAAGAACGATGTCATTGTGGGATACAACTGGAAATTTATTTTTTTCCTTTGAATCACAAGGGGCACACTTGGTAATATGAAAAGTTCATTAAAACCCCAAAATAGAGCTTCCCGCATCTCTTCCTACAAAAGCTGGTTCACACCAGCTTCGTTTAAACTCTCTTCTACAGGCCCGAAACTCTTCTACAAAATCATCCAAACACTAAAAAAATCAGCTTTTTGGCTCTGAAAGCAAAAGCGGCTTTTCAAAAGCCAATACAAACAGGGCCTTTCTAATCCTAGCTCTCTTGGTAGAGGAATTGAAGGTTTAGGTTACAGTATTGTGTTGCAGTTCAATAACTTCCATGAACTAGACATTTTGAAAGTGAAAAAGTAGACTAGAATCTCACATTATAGGTGGAAGACCGGTTGATAATATTACTTGAACCAAGTCCTTGTTTGTCATTTCTCTCTTCTGTTGCTTTTGAACTTCGTCGGTTGCTCGTTGTTCCGATCACACTCATATGAGATCAAGGTAAGTTATTTAAAGAACTCTCTAGTTCTTAGTTCAAAAAATAAATAAATAAAAGTTGCCTACTCCGAATAATCCTTAAACCTGATGTTTTTATGTAGCGTGAAACCTTTTTTTCCTCGCACGGATGTCTACATTGCACAATTTGAATAGTCATTTCTCTTGGTGTGCAATTCGCTATTTATTTTATAATTTATTTATTAAAAAATTAAATAATATATATATTTTTAAATTTACTTTTTATTTGTCTTTTTTATCAACTACTATATTAGTAAAGAAGACAATATTTAAATAAATATTCATTATATATATATATATATATATATATAATACATTCCATATCTTTTTTGTTTTGGATGGTAAAGCGAACACACACACACTTTGTTGCCCACGCTAGGCTCGAACCCCTCCCCTCTTCTTTGAAGATGGGGAGGTTATATCATTGGGCAAAGGCCCTTTGATATACATTACATACCTTCTCACAAAAAAAAAAAAAAAAAAAAATGCATTAAAACCCCACATATAAATAAAATATTACTCCATTCGTCCCATAAAAAGTGTCACTTTTGGGGAATCGTAACTTTCACAAATTAAATTGTTACGGATCGCAAAAGCGACACTTTTTTTGGAACGAAGATAATAGAAGTTATATATAATCGCCCGTTGATTGAAACGAGATATAATTGCATTTTGTTAAGACTCGATTCATGCTTTTATCACCCTTATCGAAGCATTATTTGAATTTTTATCCATCATGTCTCTCTTTCCCACTTAATTTGCTTATGCTCACTCTCATATTTTTCATTTGTTTTTGCGCCTCAATTTTCATTTGTTTTGTACGTTCTTGGTCTAAGCCCAAGTCGATTTTCGCTTTGAGTTTCAAATTACGAGATTCGATTCCTAAGCTATTCATCAACTTATTTTGCTGCCCTGGCAAAATCTTGAAATTTTGTAAGAAATAAGCTATGTTGTATCGCAACTTTAATTTTATTACGATCGTTCCTAATCGGTCGTGAAATGTCATGTGAATCTTCATCAACAATCGGTGAATTGTTGTCGCCAAAGTTAACTGAATTTGTTGTTGGTACTCCGGAAGTTGATGGAATAGATGAATTAATTGGGTACTGAACCGGTTGTTTATGTAACCGTTTCGGAGCAATCTCCATGCTCATTCATATGGATTTGCTATTTGCGTTACAACTATGGAACTAATTTTGGGAATTCTGAAGAAGATTCCAAAAGTGTTCCAACTTAAATGGTTTCTTTTCTTGGCTTTGATATAGTGCTTTTACTGTTGAGAGCTCTAAAAAATTAATAATAATTAAAATTAGATAAATTGTCAATTAAAATTAAAATATTAAAGAAAGTAAGAAACTTATTGTAACTTTAACGTTGTAGCTACTAAGATATTGGTTTTGAAGATGAGAATTGAGAGCAATGAAGGAAGTATTTATAGAGAATTTAATAATAATAATAAAAGGTTTGGAGTTTGTGCAAAGAGCTGTTGTATCTCAAATAACGCTTTTAAAATAAACAAAAACAAATATATTGTAAAGATTTCAAATGTTTGTTCATGCGAGAGATCAGTGGGAGTTTTCCTTTATAACTCGGACAACACCATCACACTTATGATTGTTATATGACATCTAATAATCCATTGTGACATCAATTAAACCAATGTAAACCAGTATGTGTAAATTTAGATGAAAGTGTTTTTCTTTTCTTGAGTAAATATATCATAAAGTAGGAATGTAATCATGTACACTGCATTTTTTTTTTTCTTTTTAATTCAGATAAACGCAAACACTTACCAATAGATGTGGAGCACTCAGCCTCCTCTTTCGGTGAATAGATTATTCAATTCAAACTAAAACCCATTCGTACTGTGACCAAACTTTTCCCACAAAAAATATGTTAAAAAATTCAAATTCAGAAAACATTATATTGTTTATTAATTGTTGAAAATCAAATTCTATTTTTTAGAATTTTTTTTTTATAAAAAAAAATCATTTTCTATTTTCTAAGTTATAAAAAACTGTTTCAAAACCAAAATAGTACCTTGTCAACATCTAATTAACTGTTTATAAAAAAAAATCATTTTCTATTTTCTAAGTTACAAAAAACTGTTTCAAAACCCAAATAGTACCTTGTCAACATCTAATTAACTGTTTCCCGGTCGTATGGTACGTGGCCCACTTATTTGGCCATTCCTGGACCACTCCAATTTGTTAGCCCCTTGTTCACTTTTAGAAGTACAAGTCCATATCACCCAACACCCCATAGCATTTTGATTTACTTTCACTCCACCAAAAGGTAAATATATGTATTTCCTGACATACATATATAAGAAAAAAAATTATTACTGGATCTAGATTATATGATACCGACTAATCAATGTGTATTTAAATGTATCAATTTTATTTAAATTTTTATATTTGTAAAAAAAATTTACGATTAATTAATGTGTTTTTAAATGTATCAACTTTATTTAAATTTTTATATTTGTATAAAAAGATTTACTTTTATGTCGTGACCGGACCATGTACTAATTTCTTCGCACCAACCGACCGGACCAACAATTACTCAAAAACCGAATCATCCTACTCTCTGGACAAACCCTGGTCGTTACTTTGGCAAACATTATCCAATTATTGGAATACAAGACACTTATAATGCTCATGCCAATACGATGAGTAGAGAAAAACACCTATCACAGCTCACAGAACTTTATAAAAGTCCGCATACAGAGAGCAAGATACATTACAAACTCTACATGCCTGAGACTAGGGTTCCGCAATAAGCAAAAAGACATAACATATGTACACAACTGTGTACAACGACCATGCACTTCCACACACTTGCACACACAAACTTGACAGAAAAAAAGATAGGAGTTCCGACGGGGAAGAAACATCTCTAGCCGTCCGATGATAGATCTTCTCAAGCCTCAAACATTGTAAGGAGGAGGAGTGTTCCCGGATCCAACCCCATTTGCCTTCTCGTGTGTGTCCTGTGTAGACCTCCTCCTAAACCGGTACGACTCCTTCCCTCCTACACATTATCCATCAGGAGAGTTTGTTAACTATATCAAACATGATTATATTAGAGTCTATTAGACATCTCTAGAGAGATGTATTCCAGTCCTTGCATGCAATCTAGGACATAAAAAATGAGACGAACATCAAATCATAAAACCATATTTTGGTATTAAGTAACTGAATGGGACATGAAATGTGATTTTTAGTACAATACCGCATGAAGTAGCACATAATAAAACTACATCCCGGCATCAAACAGTGAAGGATATCTCAAACTCGTAATTGGCTTTTGTCAAAACTACATAGAATTATAATAGCAAATAGTAGAACTTCCATAGAGAACTTATTTTTAGTAATGCGCAGCATTAATATTGACAGAAATAAAGGAACATTCTATAAATTACCGTTATTGTTGTCGATGTTGCTGCTAGGTAACCTGGGGTCTTGAGTACTTGATACTTGGTTTAACTAGATGCTATCTAACATATATAGCTTCCTCTACCATGATGAGCCCCTATAGTGAACTCAATACAACTGGGTATGTGAAGAACAACTTTTCTTATATAATTTACGCGAATTATTTTTTATTTTTTCGTTTTATAACTGCTTACAACAATTTACATAGTTAGTTTTAATAAAGGTTGCGTCAAAGATGAAAGCTATTCATATGCATGTGACAGAGGAAGTATACAATAACACAAGGAAAATGCTCTATAAAACAAAAATCTAATCAAACTAATCAATGGAAAGAAAAATAACCACTAAACATTTACGAGACAATACTTCAATTCAGCGAGCTATTAGCTTAAGTAGTATCATATGCCATCCCAAAAAACAGGGGGTGTTAACCTGAGTCTTAATTGAGACACGATTGCAACCATCTAAAAAGGATTATATGATGTATTCGGAAAGGCTGTTTCTCATTTCAAAATCCCCGACCTCAACATCACAGTGTATAAAATAATTTTATAAATACATAGTATGGAGCTAGGGCGGCTCTGCACCATATCCCCTCAATTTTTATTTATTTTTCATTTTTTTCCTTCACCACATCCTTTCAATTAAAACAACCTAATGCAAAAAAAATATTCCTACTTTAAACAGAAACATTGGCTATAAACACCTTCTAATACTTGCATGAAGAAACACGGTTGCATGAAGAGGAATGATAGGTCCTCCAAAAGTAAAGGACTGCATCCAGCAGTCCCTAGTTGCATCAAAGTGGGGTCATTGTCGGAACTCGGAAGACAAATCATTTTCCTGGCATGAAAGACACCATAGAAGCACTTTTAACCCAAAAGCAAAACTTGGGCAGGGAGAATTTTAGCTTCAGCCATGCACAGTGCGTTAACAAGGATATAACAGTCCTTTTGTACTTCTAGGAGTCAGTGGCCTATCTTGCTCACATCAGTAGATGCGATTTAAGTGTAAAAACAGTAATTGCCAAAAATAAAAAATAAAAACATAACAATCATATTCAATAATTATCATACTTGCTACCGACAAATTTTTGACTCTTATCATTATGTAAGACACATTCCACTAAAATTATTTAAGTATAATATTATTATTTTTAATGACTATATTGATGGTCCTCCCCACTCACATATAAAAAAAAGAAAAAAAAAAAAAAAAGATGTTTAGACTACTTATCATTATTTTAAGGACTAATTCCATAAAACTTTATTACATTCAAATTCTGATCATAAACCACTCAATATATTTCAGAAAATCCATACATTTTAAAAATTAATGCCAAATTTAACTTTACTATTTAATATTAAATTTAAAACTAAAAATATATTTTTTAATTACAAAAATACCCCTTAATTATCTTTTTCACCCCTCCCCCACTCTCAAACACACTCCTTTTTCTAAATTATTTTTATAATTTAAAAATAATAATTATTAATTTTAAATTTAATATTAAATAGTAAGATTAAATTTGTCATTTTCCGGCCTGGTTAACGGATCAATGAATATTGTAACAATTTGATCACTTTTTAAGGTGTAAGGAATTTTATGATCAAAATTTAAAAATAACAGAAGTTTTATGGAATTAGTCCTTGTTTAAATTTTTCTTTTTGCTGACAGCCAGAGATAATTTCTGTATAATACTCTATATATATACACACACACACACTACATAATGCATGTCATTTTCTACATCCACCTAACACTTTAATTAGGTTGCATTTATCCATCGAGAAATTGACATCTAATTTGCATGACAAAATTACCCTCACTACACTTGGTACACTCATGGATGCTTCTAGAGCCCCTAAACCCTCAACTTTTCTCGGATGGAGGTAGAGGTTGGCCATTTCATCAATCCACTACAAGGGCATTTTCGACATTGGAAAAAAAAAAGATAATCAAGCTTACCAGCAAAAGGAGATACCGGAGGGGTCGAGCCGGCAGGAGAAACCGGCGGCGAACCATTCTGATTCCCCTGAGGCTTTACTATCATGATACTCCGTGTCACTCTCATCCCATTCTCCGACGCATCATCGCCGTACGATCTATTTCCACTGTATGATTCTGCTTGAACAAAATCAATCAAACGGTCAAAAAGTTAACGATACTTCACTCAATATATAACAAAACACAAATGGATCTGATCCGATTAGTCTGATTATCAGAATTCAATTAATTTCATTTATTTTTAGTTCATTCATTTCATTTCATTTGCTTATGTTAGCGCCAACAGGCGTACGATAGCGAGGGGCTTAGCGAAGTACCCTTGCCGGAGCTGGATCGGAAGCTAAAGGTGGAGTGTTTACGGAGCTTGCCGAGGCCGTTTTCCGGCCGAGGTCCGGCAACGGTGTCGTCCCACATCTGGTCGAGTAAGCTCATGGCGTATGTTAGCGAAAACGGCTTACGCTACTATATAGTGCGATACCAGAGCAACACCCACAATGGAGGGAGTGTGATTCGGTGGAGGCGGAGAGATATTTAATGGCGGTTTCAGCGTTAAACGTCGAACAAGTCTTGGAGAATGAAGGGATTTGGAGCCGTTGGATTGGATCTGTAGACTGGAGATGACGTGGTCACTAGATCGAGAAACACGCAAAGATAAGATCGACGTGACAAGGACTCGATCTTTTGTTAGAGTGCCACGTGCAAGGTTATGAGAGGGACTGTCACGTGATAGGGCAATATTAAATTCGACGGTTCAGATCTTTTTCATTTTTTCAGATTTTTTTTAATCATTATTTTATCCAGATTGAGAGAGACTGGCGTTCGTTTTTGGTGGATTGAATCGACGACTTTTTGGACAAACATATGTATTTATTGGAGTTTATTTTATTATTATTATTATTATTATTTTCTCTCTCTCTCTCTCTCTCTCTAAATATATATATATATATATTTTTTTTTTTTACAATCTCCAAATATCTAGTTAAAAGTGCATATCATCAATTGTGACAAATCGTAATATTATAATTAATTATTATTATTTTTTGATAAAAATAACTTACATAATGATCTTGAAGAAATTTAACTCATCTTTTACCGTGAGAAAGAAAAAATGATAATAATAATAATAATAATAATAATAATAATAAGAATAAGAAGAACAACAATAACAATAACATTACGCTGCATTTCTTGGAATTTTTTTTTTTTTTTTTTGTGATGTATTATTATTTGGTCCTATTTTTAAGTGATTGAATCATTGAATAAAATAAGAAAATATATAATAACAATAATAATAATAATATCATGTGAAGTTGTGAACTTCATGGTATAAGCTATGTTATATCAGCGATTACTCTTTTTCAGTATTATAAATATAACATATTAAAATTTATCCTTTCAAATAGGTAAAGACGAAAATAGTTGTAACTACAGGTGATTTTATTTTAAAAATTATTTTTTATAGAAAAATTATAACTTAACCCTTGCAAGATTTAAATAATTGGTCTAGATCCTAATTTTAGAAAAGTAATGATCCATTTGGTTTGTCAATAAATAAGAATAATTTTCAAAAACTCATAAAATAATTTTGAAAAAAATTATAAAAGACAATTTTTTAAAAAATAAACATTTTTAAAACCAATTTTCAGAAAACAGCCGTCTGACCTTTGGGCTTATTTTCCACTCATTGGGCTTTCAATTGGCCCAGCAAGTACGTCTTATTGGGCTCTACGGGCTTTGAAAAGTGACTCGAGCTACTGTTGTGTGCTGATGTGAATTCAACTTTAGATATAGATACGCTTTCTTATTTTCGGTTTTATAAGACTTATTATATAGTACTCCTTTTTGGGTCATGATAATGTTGTTTACAGAGACAAGTGAGGGCATATACGACAAGCCGGACAAGAAAGTACTTAAAATCTAGATACAGAATTTCCTAATTATCACATGAAAAAAAACAAAAAGGGGGCATCTAAACTACTTTAGGAGTTCAAATCTCTTAGGTGGTCGCCTGTGCATAAGGGATGTGAGGTAAGGAAACAGTCCCTCCACTTGCGGAGGTAAGATTGCGTACATCTTATCATCCCCAAATCCCGCAATGGCAGGAGCCTCTCATGCACTAGACGGCCCTTATATTTTTGTTGAACAACATGAGAACACAATCAAAGAGCATAAAAAAACAAAAACGTGAAATCTACCACTCATTCTTCCAATGGAAGAAAAATACCTCAGGAGATGATAACAGTGCTAGTGAAAACAGTTTGATAAGCAAATCCAACATGAGTTCATTATTGGTCTCAAATGAGTTTGACGCCTGCTTCCCTCAAAGAATCAATCACAGCTTTCACCTTACCATGATACTTCTGATCTTTCTTCAAGAAAACTGCGACAGCAGGGATGTCTTTAACCAGCAGGCGCTCCCCCAATATCTTCCCTATCTTCGCTGCTGCAGCAACGTCGCGAGTAGTTTTCATGCTGGGCCTCAGGGCCTTCTCCTGTGAGCTTGCAGAAATGGCCACTGTAGCAGTTGGTGAGTGGATCACTTGGGCACTCACAAACTTGTTTGAAAAGTGCATCCTCAAGATATATGGTTTAAGGAACTTTGTAATTCTTTCTGGCCTGACTGGCGGAGGAATGACCATTTCTGCTTCGCAAATCAAATGTCAAATGACATTACTATGAGCTCAAATCACACCCTTAAAAAATATTATACTAAGAACATGTTGCAAATGGAATTAACGATGTAAAATCAAAACAAAACACACAGAGGAATAATATATGTTGGAAGAATAGGGTGACCAAAGTTTAATCTCCAGTAGATGACTTAACTCGCTCACTTAAGGACCAGGATTCCATAATCCATAAATACGAAGGTGAAATTCTAAATTTGGATGGGTAGCTATTGATCAGAGCTCATCTGAGCACCATGATGAATGAGCTTGATACTGTTAATTTGAGGACGAATCATAGAATCATATAATGTCTTTAGACTATGGTGAAAACAAAGACACTAAATTTTAAAATCTCAGTCATACAAAAATCTGATATTACCACAAACCAGAGGCCATCTTGCCGTCTATTTTATCCAAAATTAAGATGCAATACATCAATATTGTGTTAGTTTCACTGACTTAATGCCTCACTTGTGCAAGTCACAGTAAGTATGTTTTTTACTCCATTTTTTCAATGAAAATGGACCAACAGTCAAGTACACCATCTAATCTTTTTTTTTTAATTTTAAAAAAAAATCTTATTTAGGTGGGTAAAAGCAACCAGGCATTAATTAGTTGCAAATCGGGAAGACCAAACTAAACAAACCAGGGTAACAATTCAACCATTCAGCAAACAGTAATATCTGAATTAGAAGCATCCTAACATGAATTATTCCCATACCCTTTCTATTATTGTTTCAAGTAAGGCATTGCCTGAAGTAGTATGATGACATGTAAATGGTACACATAATTAGTATTTAATTGAGATTATATTACCAATATATTTAACTAATAAATTCACATTACAAAAATAAAAATGCCACAGAGACAATAAAGCTTCATTAAAAATAATTACCCTCTAACATGGTTCTCCATTTTTTCCTCTAGTCTTTACTACATTACCCAGAATACCATTTTCTGTAAAAGTTGGTCATTACATCTTCCAAGAGATTTGTTACTGAAAAAAAAAAAAAAAAAAGGGGAGGGAAAAACAGGAAAAAGAGAGTAAAAAGCATTCCAAGCAAAAACAGGAGAAAGAATCAGTTTCTCTCTAAAGGACCACTTATACAGTGTCTCAAATAGAAATACGATAGAAGAGAGTGAGCAGAATAAAATCATGTTGTTATTAGTACTATAGGGGTTACCAGTTCCTTTGGACTTCTTTGGAATAGTGGTCTCAACGACTACTCCGATTAGGTTGACTTTCTGATTGAGCAAAGCCAAGGCGTCTACTCTCACTTGTGCAAGTCACAGTAGTATGTGTGTTTTTTACACCATTTTTTTTCAATGAAAATGGACCAACAGTCAAGTACATCATCTAATAAATTTTTTTAATCTTGTTCAGGTGGGTAAAAGCAAGCAGGCATTATTCAGTCGCAAATCGGAAAAACCAAACAAACCAGGGTAACGTTTCAACTATTGGGCAAACAATAGCTAGATGCTATCCAGGTATATGCGTGCTCAACTCAGACAAAACAGTAAACACGAACTGGTCATCAGAATGTTGTTTGTAAGCATGTGAATAGGATACGGAATATAATTGATTTATACATACATGACCATATTCTTATTTGAACCAACATCATAAAATAGCAATAACAAAAAAACTTATATCAACTATAAAAGAACTACGTAAAAATTCTTTTAATGAATATGTCCCAGCTACAAATTCAAGTTGAAAAGATGCACTACTAAGTAGTATCAATTTAAAGTTCTAGAGCAATAACCACCCAATAAATGCTAAATAATAGCCGCTCTATGATCGTGTTTTGAAATTTACAAGTTCCATTTCGAGTTCATGTATTATCTAAAACCCTAAAACTTCATCTATCTTTCTATTATTCATTGAGAGAGAACCTGGAGGAGAAGTGATACCCATCCCTAAAACCGTAGGACCTTCCGCTCCCATTCCCTATCCCCACCCTTGTTTAAATTCCCAAACCGCCCCATTTCTTTAAATTTTTCAGTAAGCTAAAATTATATATTGATGTAAGTAAAATTTCCAGGTGCTAGAAAGGAGGCAAAACTAACCCAACAAAAACTACCAAGCTAACCAAAGCTAATCCCAGCCGAAGTACAAGGCATACAGAGAATTAAGGTGTTGTTTGAAAAACATAAAAATTACAAGACCTAAATTTTAAGTGCTAAATTCAAGTGGTAATTGTAGAGCATTATATATATATGTAGAGATTTTCAGTGACCAGCATCCCCTTAAAAATTTTACCCATTTCAAGTGGCAATTATTTTTTTAAGTGATACTCAAATTGTTTAGCAAACAGATAACCAAGAATTAGCAGAAGCCTAGTTAGAACTTAAATCAAAGCCCGACAACAAAATAAAGCAAATTAAACTTCATCCAAAAAAAAAAAAAAAAAGGAACAACATAGCATAATGATCCATGGGATAATCCAATTCAATCCCTGTAAACAAACTTGATGCATATCTGGGACGAAAACAGTTCTTTAAACTATTAAATTAGCAATTTTCAGTAAATAAAGGCCAAAATATAACCATAGAAGCAATCAGAGAGAGCTATTATCTGATTATGTGAATAAAAATAGTAGCAATCGGAAAGTTTCAAGGTGGGTGTTAGAGAGAGACGGTGAGAGAGAGACCTACCTGGAACGAAAAAATGGATAGCAATCTGTAATCGCAATCAGAGAGAGTGAGATGGGTTCGATCGGTAGTCACGCGACTTGTACCATGAGCATCGTCTTCTTCTGTGGGAGCGATGAGAGAGATGGAGTGAGATGGGTCGTCGTTCGCTGGACGGCTGCGAAGAGAGAGAAAGAGTGAGCCAAGCGTCTGAAATGAGGTGAAGGGTTTTAGACATATTTTGATATTTTTAATAATTTAAAGTATAAAAGAGTAATTTTGTACTCCTTAATCTAAACAAGAGGAGAACACTACGTAATTTGCATAGTAACTTTATTTAAGCATTTTTCCAAAAAAAAAACACTTTATTTAAGCAATAAGAAATGAGACCGACAGATAAATCCAATTTTAACCTTGGAATGATTATTGAAAATATTTTTTTCAAAATTAAATATTGCATGAGAGATGACTTGTAATAAAATAAAAAATAAAAAATAAAAAAAGGTCATATTTTGTTTATTTGGACAAATAAGTCAATACCTTTTAGATTTTTTTTTAATTTTTTTATTTATTTAAGTCCTAAATCATTACATCTTTGTAAAATTTTGTAATTATAAATTTATTTCGGAATTAATATTTAATTTTATTTTCGAACTTCCACTCCCACGGGACAAGACTCATTTCAAGTTGAGTTGTCTAAGCCAATGAATTTCGTATATATATATATATATATATATCATTTAAATTTTAATTACTTAATAATATTACAATATGAGTTTAAATGATAATTAATTTGATTAAAATTCAATTCAAAAACTCATGTAAAATATAAAATTTTAGTATTAAAAAATTAATTATTCTATAAAAATTTAATTAAGTGTATATATTTAAAATTTCACTTAATTAAATTTTTATTCAATTAAATGTCTAATTTTGTAAGGATATACATGAAAGTTTGAATATAATTTTATACTATTTAATATAGTAAGAGTATTATTTAAATGGGAAAAAAAATCTCTAAAGTAGGATTATTAGTCCTAAAGAATTTTTTTTTTTAGAATTTAAAAATAGGTTGGTAGTAATTTTTCCAAAAAAATATAGAAAAAGATGACTAATATGGCTTGTCTTTTTGGTGTCTAAATTTTGTTCATTTGATTAATTTGATCTCGATACATCCTTGTGGAGACGATGGACTTGGATTTAACAAATTATAAGAATGCCTCTGAGATTCAATCATAAACCATTTTGCCTAGCTCTGTAAAGGAACAGCAGGTACAATCAAGCTATCTTAACCATTTTTTTTTTCCAAAAACATTTTCATATCCCAAATTGCAGGAGCATTCTCCTTGGCTTTAGTAGAGAATTTTTTAAAGAAAATATGATACCGAGAAACCGTGTTTTTATCAAAGTGTTTTTTACTTCATTAACTCATATTTTTCACTGAAAACACACACACAATATGAAAAAATATTGTTCCTATCACAACATTTTCTACTCCATTGACTCATATTTTTCACTGAACGAAACAAATAAACACACGCTAACTCATACATAATATGAACAAACTCTGTTCCAATCAGAGCATTTTCTACTTTATCGACTCATATTTTTTGCGAAAAACACAAACATACATACAATATGAAGAAATTATGTTCCTATAAGAGTATTTTGTATTTCATTAACTCATATTTTTCACTGAACAAAACACATAAATACACACAAACTCACACGTAATATTGAGAAATTAACTATGCTCCTATCAGAACATTTTTTACTCTATTGTGTCATATTTTTCATTAAACGAAATACATAATGACACACACATTTTAAAAGGAGATCAACATCAAAATGCATATGAAATTATAAAAATTAAGACTGAAAGTACGGCCAAGCTAAAAGTTTGGGAAGTTTCAAAACTAAATAATGTATTTTTGGTGTCTAAATTTCGTTAATTTGACCTTGATATATACTTGTGGAGACCATGGACTTAGATTTAACAAATTATACATAAGAATGCTTATCAGATTCAATCATAAACCATTTTGCCTCCGTCACATGTAAACCCACCTTCACCCTACTCCCTAAATTGGTAAAGGAGCAGCAGCTACTATCATGTTTAACGACGTAGTTTAGAAAAGTAACAAATATCTATATATACAGTTATATATATAATATGAAGAAAATATGTTCATATCAAGTCATTTTTTACTCTATTGACTCATATTTTTTTTACTGAAAATACAAGCATACACATAATATGAAGAAACCATATTTCTATCAAAACATTTTCTATCCATTAGCTCATATTTTTTTTTTTTTTTTTTTATTGAACGAAACACATATATACTTGCAAACTCCCATAAGAGCATTTTTTACTCCATTAACTCATAATTTTCATTGAGTGAAATATATAAAGATGCACACATATGCTATAAAGAAACTAAATACTTAAACACACACCCAAGCTAAAACAAACTATCATGATGGTACATTTTGTTTTGTTTTGTTTTTTATTTTTACTTTTCAGAGAGAGAGAGAAAGGTCAGACAGTGAAATTAAAAGTACTGAAAAGGGAGAAAGTTAAGACTTCTTAACATTTTTTTTTGGAAATTAAATTTGTATAAAATAGTACCCTGTATGAAGAAATTTTCAAGCAAACCAAAGCCCAAAACAATGGGTAAGCCCATACAATCAAACCAAAGGCTTTACAAAATGAGCAGACATGTGTAGTCTATACAAGCCCTAGACTACTAATGCTTAAAGCCCAAACCAGTACCGAGTATTATTCTTTATGCCTCTTCAATCTTTTGTTTATGCCTAATAAACAAAAGAATAGTCACAGAAAAAGGCGTCCCTCACACGCGAGGGTAGAAGAGGCCCCATATCAGTGACAGAAGAAGAAAGAACAGAGTTAAGAGCAAATCTACAGAATTCGTGCGTTGCTTGGTTACCGAATCTCGGGATCCAGTGGAGGGATAGGTCATCGCCTATCTGAATCAGATGTTGCACATCCAAAATGATGTTTGAGATAGCTTCATCAATAAAATTGAAGATGCATAATGGGTTGGCAATCTCCTTCAATGAGAACATTAGGGAGTCCCAAATCGATGCAAGATTGGACTGCAACTCGCAAAGAGAGTGTAACGACCCAAGCTGATGCAAAAATTTTAAAAAAAATTCGGTTAATCTCTCCTAAAAATGGTCCTTCAACAACCTGTCCCAATATACAAAACACATAATATACTCCAACATCCCATTCATCTGTTCATTATACCTCAACATAGTTCCTCTCATGGTGGAACATCCACACACCAATTAATCTAAATTATCATAATTACAGTCCCAAAATACATAGTTAAGATTTAAAGTCCATGCCTTACAACGTTACATGATACAATTGCATGGAAATATATACCATAATTCCATTAGTTTCATTTACATCAAACAAAAGATAAGTTCGTTCTTAAGTTACAAGGTCATGAATACTAACTTAGTTACATTTTCACAACTATGAATATACATAGAATGGTCAAAATACAAAATAGCAAACAACCTTCTAACAACTTTCAAACTTGAGGTGGATTGTCGTCTACTGGTTCATTTCCAAAACCTGAAAAAAAATAATATAAATAGTAGGGTGAGCATATAGCTCAGCAGGTGACACTTAAGACACACATCTTGTATCCTTGTGAATCCAAACAAAGCATAGGCTAATGGGAAATGGGGATCATACAATGTCGGGAAATAATATAGCATAACGATTTAATCTCAAGTATATCCAATGCAATGCAATGAGATGCAATGCATGCTAGTGTCGCTCCCCATTTTCATAATCCAAAACATCGTTTCTAAACTGTTAATACAGCCCGCCATTTGGTAACCCCGCCGCGACACGAGAGGAGGATTGGCTAGTGTCCCTGACCCTTGGTAACCCCGCGGCGTCATTATGGGCCCAGCTAGCTCAACCACACTAGGGCGACTCCCTAGTCCCCTCTAGGCTATATTAACCTCCGGCCTGTTGGTAACCCCGCAGTGACCGAGTTTCACACAAAACCATTTCATCAAAAACACTTCCCTGAAATTCCCCATATTTATTTCAAGAAAAATTTCCCCCATTTCATGCAAACCCAATGGTATGTGCATGTATATATGTTCCATACATTCAATATCATGGCATTTAAAATTCTACACCATAAAATTAAACATTCAACATGTTCAACATCTCCCAAGTAATTATTAACACATTAAGATACAACAAAATACATTTAAGCATGCTTTACACATAAAACAACTCACATTCATTCACATGAATTTCTCTAGACAACATTTAAAATAATCATTGATACAATTAACTTCTAATTAAGCATGCTTGGCAAAACAAAGGAGTATAACTCACAATGGAACAAGAAGGTAGTGGATTAAGGTGTACCTACCTCAAATTTGCACAAAACCCTTAAAATGGGTCTTGAATTTCAAACCCCAAGGAGGGCACTAAATCTGGAATTGTTCGTATGGATGCGTAGAGCTCGTTGTGGGCTTCGTTTTGCCTCAAACGGCACCTTAATCCGATAAGAGATGAGAGAGAAATTAAGCCTTGAAGCTTTGAAGAACAAAAGAAAAGAAAAGAAAAGAAAGCTACTGGACGAGAGAAAGAGAGTGATACGCAGAGAGGAAGAGATAAGTCATTATATTGGCTTATAATTCATGTGGGCCCCACAAGTGAATAAAATTTTATTTAACTTTAACATATATATATATATATATATATATATATATATATATATATATATATATAAAGTCAAAAATATTACATTCTCCCCAACTTTAAAAAAGATTTCGCCCCCGAAATCAAGCCATACCTGAGAGAGAAAACAACTCTGGATCCTTGGAGCGAACCTCCTGTTCAAGCTCACAAGTAGCCTCCTCGACTCCGTGGTGTCTCCAAAGGACTTTCACCATTGGTATCGTCTTGTTCCTCAACACCTTCTGTTGTGTGTCAAGAATCTGAACTGGTCCTTCCTCGTAGGAAACATCCTCATCAATGTCTACATCAACCCAACTCAAAATGTGAGATGGATCTGGCTCGTACTTCCGTAACATAGATACATGGAAAACATAGTGGACCTTGTCCAATTGTGGTGGCAAAGCAAGTCTGTAGGCAACCTCTCCTACACGGTCCAAAATCTTAAAGGGATGAATCGTGGCGACAACTTGCCACTTTTCCCAAATCTCA